CACACACACACACACACACACACACACACACTCCTGTTCCTGCCCAACACACACAAACCCCCCTTTCACCCTGAAATGGCATGCACTGTTTTGTCTCTCTCCCAGTCCCCCTTTTGGACCAGTCAAAAAGGGGAAAAATGGGGTTTCTACGGTGTCATTTCCAGACACTCTTTTTGGGCCGGATGAGATTTTTTTCAGCATGTTTGTTCAGCCTGCTCAATCTGGTGTCAGTTTGTGAGTTTCTTCTCCCTCTCGTCTCTTTTAAATCCAGCAACACAAGGCTACATGAGACGTGGAGAGCGGTGTAAAATAAACGCTAGCTTTTAAAAACTCTCAGTGGATTACCGAAATGTCCCCGAGTCTATGAATGATATAAAAAGCTACTGTATGTTTTATACTTCGCACCCAGTGGCATCATCATGTTGTGACATCATTGCATGCCCGAGCATGCTCTTTCTTACTCTTTGGTTTATGAGGTTGTTTCGAAGTTAATGTGGAGAAAATAATGAAATGTTTGAAATTAATGTGTTTGGTGTGGTTTATTGCTGCTGTCTCGTCATTTCAATCCAAGGATTCAGTTTCATGAAGGTGGTAAAAAAAAAAACATTACAGATGAAAACATGAATCCCCAGCAAGGACTTATGGTTATATTTAAATTTTACATCTGATTCTTGATTGGGAGGACGTACTTCTAATTTACTTTTCTGGATAAACAAAAAATCTATCAACAATAAGTCTATCTATGAACTGCTTCTCAATAGATTTTACAGAAAATGTACGATATCCCAATATACGTCACTATCATAATATAACATTACACACACTGTGAGAGAGCATTTTATCCATAACGCAACAAACTACATTTCTCAAAGCAATATGCAGAATTTTCTATATGATGAATATCACAGTTATTCAAGGTTACTGCAGCTGATAATATTACTATTGTTTGATGGAAAACAGACTGACACATATCTTAATTACTCATTTAATTTAGAATCATTTAATTTAATTTAAAGGTACTATAAACAAGATTGGGAGTACTTCAATTGCCTCTCAACATGGCGACGGCTGAGCCGGCTTGCGGTTAACTGTGCTAACAGCTCTAACAGTGTAAACTACGTTAACAGTGCGGACTGAGCTAACAGTGTTTATCTCAAAGGGAACCGGAGGATGGACGCTTCTGTGATGGTGGTTATCAGCTGTAGCCGCCTGATGAAAGCAGTGCAGAGCGGCTGCCATTAGCTAACAAGTGAGGCAATAAAAGCATGTGTGGCCGGCCCGACTATGTCAACAAAGCACAAAGAAGCTCTGATAACAACAGAGAGAGAGAGAGAGAGAGAGAGAGAGAGAGAGAGAGAGAATCATTCTCTACTCAGACTTTACTCCACTCTATCTTTACAAAGCAAATAGTTGTTTGCTGCTGTATTAATGCTCTGAATGTCAAATTGAATATGTATTATTGACACTTAAACTTACAACTTACAACCACATGTTGTGTAGTTTATTATTCTGAAAAACTATCATTCATCGTATATTTTGTCATTACAGGTCATTGTAATTACAATAAAGAGCTCACTTTCTACTTTAAGGTGTGTCATATACATTTTAAAAGGCATATAGCATTCGTAACTACCAAAAATAGAAGATATGTGAGATGATAGGTTTAAATAATGTAAAATAATTAAAACACATTTTACTCTACGCTAAATGTATTCTGTAAATGACTGAAAATGTCAGTGGAGACTATTCAGTGTTTACAATGCTTAAAGGAGAGAGAAACACTCCCCCCTACTGTCACATTTAAGACATTATATTTGCTAATATCTTTTACGGCTCATATAGTGTTTGTGTGAATGCTCTTTAAAACTAACCCGGAGAGCAGTTTATCTCTACCTCGGGTTGTTTTTGGAGGAGCTCCGGGGTGGACCTCCGGCATGGAGCTCCGCAGCGGCGACAGCTCACTGCGTGGCGGCTTCCGGTGTCCGTCCGTCTGCTGGAGGATGGCGTCCGGCTTCAACCGCAACCAACGCCGGTCCTCCGTGTCCTAAATACACCGAAAGGTTGGGCCACCCAATGCTGGAAGACAGGCAGTGCAAACCATCCAGTAAGTTATCGTGCTTTTTTTATTTTTATTATTGTAAATGCTGTTTTTTTTGCAGTTGTGCGAGGCTCCAGTTGAAGGAGGTGAATTTTCCCTCCGCAGCTCGGGTGGAGGCCTAGTCTGATATGGGGTCTATTTGCAAACGAAGGCTCGTATCAAACGGTTAAAACCAGTTATTGTGGCCCTTCAGAAACGTCTTTTTTGCCTTGTTGTAGTATGTTTTTTTTTAATGACTGCTTATATGGCGAAAAATTCAAGTATTAACATGTGTTAATAATGTAATATAGTGGGTGATAAATCTGGAAGGAAGTCCGGTTGTTTAGTAACATTAGCTGAAGCTAGCGGTTAGCAGCTAGCTAGCTGTTAGCTGAAGCTAGCGGTTAGCAGCTAGCTGTTAGTTGACAAGCTAACGTCTCTTTCCTCCTGGAACAGAAACAATGCCATTAAGTAAACGTGTGGAAATACCATACATCTCCAACTAACTAATATGGCTATAATAAAGAAATTTGCCTAACGTAGCTAACGTGTCAAATACATATTTAACTGAGGATTACGTGACCGCTTCGCGTTTCAGGATATAGACCGAGCCCAATTCTTGTTAAGCGTTATTCTCTTGACTGTTGTTGTTTTTTTGCGGGTTTCCGTTTCAGGAAAGGTGCGTTGGGTCTGTACATGTCACCGTGTTATTTTATTTTAACAGATATTAATATGTGCATAGTACTTTAAGATGTGTTTCCCGAATAACCGAAGAACGAGTTTTAGGCCTCTCAAGCTAGCATAGGTGGTGGTGTTTCAGTTTAATTTCTTACAACAAATAAGACTTGACCTACACCGGTGTCACATTATTCCATCACTGGATAGAGCACCTTCCCTTACTGGAGTGTAATCATCCGCCTCATACGTTAGTGCTCGTGTCTCTTATGTTTCTATTTATGATGCATCCTGTTGGACACTGGCAGCTCATTTGCCCTACACTTTCATATCGACACCCTGTATTGTATATACTTTTTTTACAATAATATATTGTGAATTCAACTTTGTAATTTGTTGTGTATCCTTTTGTTTCCCCCCCTTCTTTTTAGATTTTCTCTCCTGTGTCAAAGGAAGTGTGTAAACACCGAAATAGCACTCAACTACTCTGTGTGCTGGTTACCATTTATTTTTTATTTTTTAAACCACATCCACCCTTTTCAGTTCAGCGCTGAACCCCCCCCCCAATCATCTGCTGAGAGCTGAACCCCTACATGCGAAGTGGAAGGATGACGGAGGCGTGGCAGCAGCAGCAGCAACATGCAGTGGCTCCACCCTCGGTTGTGCACACGCTCCCCCAGGGAGCTGACAACCCTCTGGGCTGCACCGTGTACGGAGTGGTCCTACAGACAGATGCTTCGCTGCAGCAGCCGCAGCACGGCCAGCAGCTCACCGTTCAAGCCCAGCAGCCCTCCTTGCAGGTAGGGGGCGAGAGAGGGCACAAGTGCGGAGCCTGTGGCCACGACATATCTCACCTGGCCAACCCTCATGAGCACCAGTGCATGGTGAACCAAGACCGATCCTTCCAGTGCACCCAGTGTATGAAGATCTTCAGCCAGGCGACGGACCTGCTGGAGCACCAGTGCGTGCAGGTGGAGCAGAAGCCCTTTGTGTGCGGTGTGTGCAAGATGGGCTTCTCTCTGCTCACCTCGTTGGCCCAGCATCACAACTCGCACGGCAATGGAAACAACCCAATGAAGTGCTCCATCTGTGAGAAAACGTACCGGCCGGGTTCCGGAAACGTCACCCCGACCTCGTCGGCCGCCAACCCCCAGCAGCCCTCCACCGGTGAGACGTCCAGTGGCGGCGCGGCGATCAGTGCCTCGTCTCCTCCTTCGTTTGAGGCCTCTGCACCAGACCGGCCATACAAGTGCTCAGTGTGCCACAAGTCCTTCCGGCATTTGTCAGAGCTGACCCGCCACGAGAGAGTGCACACCGGCGAGAAGCCGTACAAATGTGACACTTGCGACAAAACCTTCAGCCAGTCGTCGCATCTGGCGCACCACCAGCGCACGCACAGCTCCGAGCGGCCGTACAAATGCGCCGTGTGCGAGAAGAGCTTCAAGCACCGCTCTCATCTTGTGCGGCACATGTATGCTCATTCGGGCGAGCACCTTTTCAAGTGCAATTTGTGTGAGATGCACTTTAAGGAGTCGTCCGAGCTCCTGCACCACCAGTGCCAGCCAGAGGGGGAGAGACCTTTCCGCTGCGGCTCCTGTGGGAAGAGCTTCAAGCGCCCGTCTGACCTGCGGCAGCACGAACGCACCCACTCGGAGGAGCGACCTTTCCAGTGCGAGGAGTGCCAGATGAGCTTCAAACAGCAGTACGCTCTCGTACGCCACCGTCGCACTCACAAAAATCCAGCCGACCGCCCTTTCAAGTGTAACCTCTGCGACAAGGGGTTCCTTCAGCCGTCCCACCTGCTTTACCACCAGCAGGTTCACGGTATGGAGAGTCTGTTTAAGTGTGCGTCCTGCCAGAAGTCTTTCAGCCAATCGGGAGAACTGCTGAGGCACAAATGTGGCGGCGAGGTGGAGAAGCCCTACAAGTGCGACGTGTGCGGCAAAGGTTACAAAAAGAATTCGACGTTGCAGCGCCACCAGAACTCTCACTGCACGGAGAAGCCGCTGAAGTGCTCCCTGTGCGACAAGCGCTTCGTGTCGTCCTCCGAGTTTGTCCAGCACCGCTGCGACCCGACCCGCGAGAAGCCGCTGAAGTGTCCCGACTGCGAGAAGCGCTTCAGGTACTCGTCGGAGCTGCAGCGCCACCGCCGAGTTCACACCGGCGAGAAGCCGTTCAAGTGCGCCAACTGCGACAAGAGCTTCAAGCAGCGCGAGCACCTGGCCAAGCACCAGAGCGTGCACTCGCGGGAGACGCAGTTCAAGTGCGTGTGGTGCGGAGAGCGTTTCGTGGACCTCACGGCTCTGCAGGAGCACACGGTCCAGCACACCGCTGAGGGGGAGAGTTTCCCTGAAGCTCAGTGCATCCCATGAACCGAACTGCTCTTCAGTCCTGGGCAGCAAACATGACATTCACCCCCTCAAAGCAACGTGTGCCAGCCTCCGCTCCCCCATCTGTAGTTTATAACACGCAACCCAATAATTACGTTTTAATGATTATTTTTTTTTATGTATCAAGACTGAATTCATCCTCATCCCTTTAGTCGAGTAAATGACAAAGCACCATATATCCACAGAGGGCGGTTACGATTCCTCTTCTTATTTTGGTACACATGGATAAAAAACTTGAACAGAATGGAGGGAAAAGAAAAGTCGTAAGATGTGTGAAGATCACAGCTTTGTTTGGTGCAGAGTGTGGGACCCTCTTCTGTGGCTGCATGTGATCGTCTGTTTTGTAACTGTTGATTGTGTTGAGAAAGCTGGGAGGAAACTTCCAGGAGATGTGTGTGTGTGTGTGTGTGTGTGTGTGTGTGTGTGTGCTCACGTGTTAGATCCTCTGAAATCCATGTGCCTTTTTTAACCGATCACTTTTGTGTTTTTGTTAATAATTATGTCCAGTTTAGCTTAAAATAACCCCTCCCATCCGTATGCAGTGGCTGGCTTGTGCAGCAGTATCTTTTCACATACTAGATCTTAGGTAGTATCATCTGTTTGTGCATGAATATTTATCACACTTTAATATCACTGTTGTATTATAGGTTTGGTTTATTTAGGAAAAACATCCTAAGAAGAAAAAGTGGATTTGTGAAAATGTATAGCCCGTGTCCTTTGAAATCTGTGTTGTTGCATCTTTGTATTAAAAACAAATGACATCTAGGTAACTAACCAAACCTATCATGTCATACGAACACTTGACATGTGCAATAGAACACGCACAATGTAATATTTATGACTACTGATTCATGGTGTAGTCTACTCTGTTATATTATAGATTGTGTGTATATGCTCCTGTAAACATTGAAAAACTGTATAGTGCTTATGTTACCTGCTTTTGTATTCACTTATGAATGAGCTTGCAGTATTTTGCAAGTACTTTTAGTTTCAGTACGAGATGGACTATTACACGGTTTAACCCCGACCAGACTTCAGAGCGTCATGTTGCTCAGGTGCCACAGACTTTGCTGCATTAGTTACCATGCGCTATAGATCTAACAAAAGTAATATTCTTTTTTTTAATGTTTTTTGAAGAAATTGGCCTCGTTACATCCTCAGAGGGGTCCCTGGTTCTGGTCCTGGTCCAGACCGGACCTTCAGCCGATTAATCAGGAGTAGCCTCAAAAGTTGCGGTTTTATGTCGGGCATAAAGTTAAACGTGTGTACTTTAGTTTACTGTGTGGATTTCTATATTCACAATACTTGCAGTATATTCAAAAGGTTTTTGGAGGTTAGAATTCATGGGACAAAGGGATTTAAAGCTGGGGGGGGGAGGGAGGTTGTGCCACAGTGGAGGTCCTGGTGAGTCCGTTTCAGAAACCTGAAGGAGTGTTGTGATGGATTCACACGTGTGGATATCGACATAGACTCCTGTTCATACTGTAAACAGACCATTCAAATAAACCACCCTTATGAACATAACGGTGCTCATTGTTTTCATCCCAGCGGAGTCGCTACTTGTACGTCTGTTGATTCAAATCAGCTGCAGCTGAGGATCCTTTTCACCATTAGATATGAATCATTTTCAAGTAATACGCAATATTATTTTCTCAATTGATTATTTTGCCCGTTATAATTTACCAGAGTCCAACATGTCAGTTTACGATCATAAAGTCTGAAATAAAGACCTGGATTTAGTCAGTGATTGAACTTTTGTTGGAAATTATTGATTATCAAAATAGTTTCAGATAAATTAAATCATTATTTTATTTATTAGCAGTTTGTGACTGCAAAAACATTTATCAGTTCACTTAAAACTATTACATTCATATGTATTGTGATGATCTTACGATGAAGTTCTGATCGCATGTTTCGATATTTCATCACTAGCTGAAGATGGAATGTTTCAAAAAGCTTAGCTGGTGAAATATGATTTTTCTGAATTACTCTTTATAGTTTTACGAATACATAATAAATAAATAATTCATCACATCTTAACCCTCCACATTAACAGCAGCTGTTTTGTTTATGCAGCAGTTTTACCAATGTTTTATTTTTCGTCTTATTTCAAAATGTCAGCCTTCTGTACTTTTACTTCACTACATGTATTTAAAATAATGATTTACTTTTCAGATTTGGATTGTTGATACAAAGTACTACTTTTACAAGTACAAGTACAAGATCTGAATACGTCCTCCACCACTGGAAACTCAAAATCAAATCAATTGAAATCATAAGCTAATACTTGCTTGTTGTGCATCTTTTTAATTGGCATATCTTAATACATTAATATTTTAGCCGATTTTATATGTTGAAGTTGTTCGTCTATATATTTTTTCATAATTCTAAAATTAAAGGAGGAAATCTGCTGATTAATTTAAAAATATGTTTAAAAAAAAATCCTACTGATTAATTAAAAAATATATTTTTTAATGAATCAGTAGATTTCCTACTTTCTACATGTGACAAGTGCTCGAAAGATAAATTAATTTGTCTGAACCAGTCTTCTATCCGTTCCCAATATAGTCGGAATATTTTATTTTATTTTGATATATGTATTTATTTTATTTTGTATTATTCTCAGGTCACTTGAGCCTGTTGATTCACATCCGGGTGATGTTCACCGCAGAAGAAGAAGAAGAGCATCCCGGTGGTTCTGCTAACGAACCGCTGCTATAGATGTACCTCCACCACCCATCCGATGAGATCAATACATCACCGATACTGCTGATATATTCACACATCATCCATAACGTGCAATCTGGAGGCGCTACGTCACTTTCACGGAGAGACCAAACGTAACCGCTAGCGAGTGTTGCTAAAGGAGCTAACGTTCATGTCGCGCGGACTTCCTCCGAGCTCGCGGATATTTCTACGACGAGGTTAGCCGGCTAGCTTTAGCCTCTCCGTTTATTGATTTCACACTGTCACAAAACGGCACTAATAAATAGTTTTTAATATATATATATATATATATTTTTTTTTTATTGTACAAAATATACACACGCGTGCTATATCTACGTGGCTCTGCATTATTGGAATCGAGTTTAATATATTTGCGTTATTTCGTGTGTTGTTGCTAGGTAAGCTAGGTCAACTAGCTAGTTAGCGTTAGCTGACAATTACCGAAAACGATGCTAAGTCTTCACTGATTGGTTCACATGTTAAGATATCTTGGTGGTAACCAGCTAGGCTAATGCTAACTAGTAGCTAATTTAGGTGTAAATTATAGCTATGTGGCCAAGGTGAGAAAAAAGGCCCCGGAGAGCCTTAAGAGTCGTGACGGGCTCCACAGTTATGAGGTCTACTAGATATTAAAATGGTTTGTGATAGCTAGATTTGATATATATATATGTATATGTATAAAATTAGACATGACACCCGAGAGTCTCCATGTTAATCTAGTCTAAATAGATGAGTCTAAATACATTGGGTTTTTTTAAACCTAGGCCTGGTTTACTGTTGTCTGGTTAGGAAAGAAAATGCAGCAAAATCACAATTTTTCTATTTTCACAGAGACTTAAAGTCTCAAACTGTAACTGGGTTTCAAACAGTCTTCAGAGTCTCCATGTTAATCTAGTCCAGAATAGACGAGTCTAAATACTGTGTAATGTTAGGCCTGGTTTATTGTGGTCTAAATGTGGCCTATAAAAAAACAATGCAGTGAAATCACTATTTAGTCTGTTTTTCACAGAGATTAAAGTTCTTTATTGTATTTATATGATAATCTGGTCCAGGTGTGACAGCTGTGGTTTGCACCCTGTGTGTTGTGCTCTGGATGCAGTCCAAATGGCCTGAAAAGGAGATTTTTAACACTCCGTGGACTCAACCATCTCTAGATTTAATTGAAAAGAAGTTGAAACTGTCACTTTTAACGAATAGACTAAACATATCACAAATCTGGAACTTTACATATGTTTGTGACTATTAATGTAGTCCAGGTGCAGGTTTGCCAACTCTTAAGTGAAAATTTGACACTGTGTCACAAAGTGTTTTCAGGCCGTGTTTAAGGTCTCCGTGTTCATCTAGTTTAGGTTTGACAAGTCTAAGGACAGTAGGTTTTGGTCTCTGATGTGGTCTAGATCGTGAAAAGGTGGTAAAATCTTCCATGTTTTCAGTTTTCACGAATCCCAAACTGGGTAAACAGTTAACGCTGTTACTCTGATACCCAGTTCTACAACGTAACACAGTGCGACGAAGAATTAGACAAGTAGAGCTGCAGCGATTAGTTCATTTATTGATTTGTCAATTCAGTCTAATCAGTTATTTTGATAATCGTTTAATAGTTTGTCATTTCAAAAATGCCAAAGTTTCTCCTTTTTCAGCTTCACATATGAGATGGCTTGATGTTTCTTTGGTCATATGTGAAAGTAAATTAAATATTTTTGGGCTTATTTTAATGTTTTATAGACCAAGTGATTCATGGAGACAATAATAATTAAATGTGTCGTTAGTTATAGACCAGCGTACAAGAAATATCTCATGTTTTGGCTTTAGCTCCCACATCGGACCACCTCAGATTCCTCGTTACCTGCATGTCTGTCCTAACCCTCCTCCTCCTCTTCCTCTTCTCTCTGCAGCTGGCGGCTCTTCATCCCATCCTGCCTAACATCCTGCTCAGGGGCTTCACGCACTCGGTCATCGTAGCTCTGTCAGTCTGCACCGCTGCCGCGTCCGACCGGCCTGACGCCTTTCACCTGAGGGCGAGAGCAGCCGAAGCCGATGGTAAGCACCGCGCAGGCATCTCCTTAGAGCCGCCACCGCCGCACATCCTGGAGAGTCGCTGCGCCGCCTTCCAGTATCGAGCCCAGAAGCGTTCAGAGGGAGGCGACGGTCGCCGACGCGGAGCCACAAAGCTAGCGATGCCCGGATCCACGCCGGCCAGCAGCAAGGCTCGGGTGTACACCGATGTCAACACACAGAAGAACAGAGAGTACTGGGACTACGACGCACATGTGCCCAACTGGAGGTACGGCTGCATGGGGGGGGTTGTACTCTCTCTACAGTTTTAGATTTAAGCACACAACACGAAAACATGTGTATCAAAATAAGCAGTAAGTTTATCATCGCAGCATTATGTTCAACGGTCATTTATTGTCATGCAACACAGGGATGCTCAACGAAATTCAGTCGTGGTCCATTTGTAACACAACAAACGCATAACAAACAAAAGAAAACAGCTGTATATTGTTGTAGTTCAATCTTTGAATTTGCATCATCAGGAATGTAAACAGCAGCAACAGGAACTATTCTGTGGGCAGATAATACGGCCGACATCATCACATTAATCATTCAACACGAGGGAAAACATTGTCCATCGACTCTGACCATTTACATCATCATGCTCAGACAGACTCCGCCTCCTCTCGTCACACCTGGAGTCCTGCTTATAGATGTTCAGCACCGACTTTAATAACGTTTAAAATATCATTTTTCACAATGAAACCATGCTGTCTATGTATCAGAGATATCCTCAAGAGTATATCAATAGCAAATACCAAAAAAGACTAAACTATGTAGAATAAGAATGACTTTTGAAAATGTAAATATAAATTTACTGAATAGGTTTTATTTCTGTAAACATATCGAATATGAAGTCTAGAGTCTGACTTACATTCATTCATAACTGAATCATGATTTTGCCTCATAGTTAGTTTTTACTGAAAACGTCTAACCTCAGATTTTGAACGTTTTGGCAGCTGAAACACAGGAAGCTAGAATAGTTCTACTGCTGTTCATACGACATTCAACCACATTAAATCATGTCGCATAGATTCTCTCCAGGTTAGTGTTCAAGTAAGAAATAAAATGTGTACATTATTGTCTCACTGACAGAAAATACATCCATAACAATTTAGATGAATTTAGATAATTTAAGAAATGTATTAAACTAACATCTGCTTTTTATTTTAAAAACAAACTTTATTTTTATATTTTTGTGTTAACCTGACGGTCGGACTAAACAAGTAAATGGAAGATCTCTTCTTGTGCTCTGGGATCCTGTGATTGTGACATTTTGCCAACTGAACCGTTTAATTTTATGATTACATGATTTATAATGTCAGAAGATATTTTAAATAAGCCTGTTATAATTTCCAAGAGCCCAAGATTACGTCTTGTTTCCAAAACTTAAAGATCTTCTGTTATTTAAAACAGAGAAAAGCAGCAAATCCTCATTTTGGAGAAGCTGGAACCAGAAAATGTGAAGTGTTTTTTTTCTTCATAAATGAGTAATTGGCTGATTGTTTCAACTGTAGTCTTCTTATTGATGATCTAACCAGGGCCATGGATGTCGTGTGGTTCATGATCAGATGTGTCTTTTGTTAACTTACTAAATGTTTCCGCTCTCTTTCAGCAATCAAGACAACTACCAGTTGGTGCGTAAACTGGGTCGAGGGAAGTACAGTGAAGTGTTTGAGGCCATAAATGTCACCAACAATGAGAAAGTGGTGGTGAAAATCCTCAAGGTGAGCCTGAAACTTCTGCTTTTGTTTTATTAAACAACTATCTCAGCAGGTGGAGCTCTCACTCTCAGCAGATGACTGTTAAAACCGTCCGTCGGAATTTTGTCACGTTTGGTTCTCCGGTATAAAAATCCTCGTTTCCAGCACGTCATTCTTCTGTGACGACCTTTTAACAATAGTGTGTCACAGATTTAGAGATGGATGGTGTTGACCGGGACAAACTGCTGTCAGTAACTCGTGTGTGCCCTCAACTTAAAGGTGCAGTGTGTCTGGGTTTGGCGCCATCTAGTGGTGAAAACTGAACGGGTACCAAACGTGTGTGAGAGCTGTGGGGGCCGACATGAGAAAGCGAATGTCCTCATCTCGAGCCAGTGTTTAGTTTATCGCTGACAATATATTCAATTGTATGTTTATTACAGTATATTTACATTATAAACTAGAATTTTAGTCAATGTTTAAGTTTGTTGCTGCATTAAATAAAGTAACACTTCCTGTTCATTTTGAAGATTTTCTGTTACCAAGTTGCTGGTGTACGATTTTATTATTTTGATAGTAAATAATTCGTTAAATGTATATCGATGTATTCATTTGTTACATTTAATAAAATAAAGTTAGGAAATCAATGTTGACACAAATAACAGCGTTAAAAACGTCTCTGAGAAGCTTTACTTCAGGTCACATTGGTTCTCACTGCACTGTGTCAGTCTGCGCTCAGTTTAGTCACATTAAATGTTTTCTCGTTGCCTTATCTTTTCCGCAGCCCGTCAAGAAGAAGAAGATCAAACGGGAAATCAAAATTCTTGAAAACCTGCGCGGAGGAACCAACATCATCCGCCTGGTGGACACGGTCAAAGACCCGGTGGTGAGTCCGGTTCCTGCCGCCGCTCTGCTGCATGTCGACACGCCGCCAGTCGTGCGTGTAACTGTGTGTGTGTGTGTGTGTGAGAGAGAGAGAGAGAGTGAGTGTGTGTGTGTGTGTGTGTGTGTGTGTGTGTGTGTGTGTGTGTGTGTGTGTGTGTGTGTGTGTGTGTGTGTGTGTGTGTGTGTGTGTGTGTGTGTCTGTCTGAGAGAGAGAGAGAGAGAGAGAGAGAGTGTGTGCGTGATAATGATCTCCACCTACCTGCTGCTGCTCCTCAGTTAAGCCTCGTGTTGTCCTCTCTTTGCAGTCCAGAACTCCAGCGCTTGTCTTTGAGTGCATCAATAACACAGATTTTAAGGTACTTAAGTTTTGGCCGACATCAAACATGCAGAACTACCATTGATGTCCATTATTAATAACACGCATAATAACCCCTCCGGTTTAAATGTTGCTCACGTGTAGATGCCAGTGGAGCTGCCGACATCTCTTCATAACACTTTGTACGCTTCATGTTGTTCCACAGGAGCTTTACCAGAAGCTGACAGACTACGATATCCGCTACTATATGTATGAGCTGCTCAAGGTAAACAAACAGCTTCCAGTAATGTCAACTTATTTATCTACTCCTGAATATTCACCTCTTTTAAGATGATATCTGTGAATGTGACGGATCAGATTTGTAGGCTGGTTTGTATTTCTCCAGAGATTTAACAAGAAGCAGAGCGTAATGTAAAGCTTAGACAATTAGAAATAGACAGAATATACAACTACCAACAACTCTGATCATTATGTAATCATTTAGATCGTTCATTAAAGAAAATATCTGCCGTTTCCAGCTTCTGAAATAGTGAATATTTGCTGTTTCTAGTTGTTTTTTAAATGGAATATTTTTCCAAAAAAAGTATTTTGAATATGTGATATTTGGCTTTTTACAATTTTTTTTACATTTTCTTTAGAATACATGAATAATAAAGTACAAACAAACAAGTGATGACTGGATAATGAACGTAATGTGTGGAGTTTGTGTCATTGTTGCCTTTGATGAATCACTGGACCCCCTTTAAGGCTCTGGACTACTGCCACAGTATGGGCATCATGCACCGGGATGTGAAGCCGCACAACGTGATGATCGACCACCAGATGAGAAAGGTAACGCTCGTTAACTACATTAAATGTGACGATAAGGATTGTTTGTTTCTACATATGATTATTTTGGAGAAGTGGATCAATCAACTGTAACAGTCAAATAATATCCGTCTATAAATATCATCATCTTAGTTTAATTACATTATGTTTACATTATGCATTTTATGGTTATTTTCAACCTTCATATATTTTAGGAAGTGTTTTTAAACTAAGTTTTATTCTTAGTTTAGTACTTAAAATTGTTCATCAACATGTTAAATTCAAAACGTTATGCAAAGCTGCAGCAATCAATACTTTTACATCAAATGCTTGTGTAACATTTATTGATTTATTATTATTATTCTGTGTCAAATCCAGTAGTTCTTGTTTTAGCTGCTTTGTTTTGGAATAAAGAAGAAGAAAAGGCTCAAAATTAAAGCATGAGCCTGTCGTGATGATGAGAGTAACGAGTCTTCTCTCCGTCGCAGCTGCGTCTTATAGATTGGGGTTTGGCAGAATTTTACCATCCCGCTCAGGAATACAACGTCAGGGTGGCCTCCCGCTATTTCAAAGGCCCTGAGCTGCTAGTGGACTATCAGGTACCGGCCGCTCACACTCCTGCTGGAGATTCAGTGCCTGTGTTGTCAATGAATGTTGGTGTTTTGATATCCTCCTCTTCTTCTTCCCCAGATGTATGACTATAGTTTGGACATGTGGAGTCTAGGCTGCATGTTGGCCAGCATGATCTTTCTGAAGGAACCGTTTTTTCACGGCCAGGACAACTACGACCAGGTAAAGGTGTCCGATACAGACTCATAAATACTAATACAATTTATTAGTATAGCGCTTTAAAAGGTACTCAAAGACACTTTACATGCTAAAAAACAGAAACAAAAGCAATTACAATATAAACAAAATAGATGACATAACGATAAGGACCAGCACAGACAACAACAACATGCATAACTAACTTTAAATATGTTTTAAGTGACGGAGAATGTCTGAGGTTACAGAACAAAGCTTCTCTCGCGGTTACACTCTCACCTCTAACTGAAATCTAGAACTTCTGACAGAAATGTCTTTGCTTTGACATAGTATGCTTTGTAATGAAACGCCTCCACAGTAATGTGTTAAATGTGCGTCCATTGTTCTCCAGCTGGTCCGCATCGCTAAAGTTCTCGGCACCGACGAGCTCTTCGGTTACCTGCACAAATACCACATAGAACTGGACACTCGCTTCAAAGACCTGCTGGGACAGTGAGTATCCAGATGTTCACAGCCAACAGCAGATGTGTGCAGCTCTGACCTCATGCTGTCTCTGTAAATGATTCAGGTAGAAACAGTTACTGGAGCCTGATGTTGAACCACGTCAGGCTGACTAAATGTTTTTCTGACCGTCTTTGCAAGTGAATATTTGGTTAAATAGAAACATGTCAGAACTGAAGGAAGATGTTTCCGACATTTTAAATGAACTCTCCTGCATTTTTTATTTTTACCAGCATTTGGCTTGTTCTAATGTCCAACCCTGCACATGTGAATAACATGAATGTTCCAGGGTCCTGGTGCTGTGCATGCGGTCACACTTGAATCCATTAGAGCCGTCTCTGATGCTATAAGTAACACCTGTGCTAATGCTTTGCTAGTATTCACAAGCAGCCACGTGGCAGTTGCTACGTATGATTCGTAAGGACTATTATACTCGCGTCACTACATTCGTATAAGTTCAGTCACGCTACGTGCTATATATTTTGTGTTTCCAGGCAAACGAGGAAGCGCTGGGAGCAGTTCATCCAGTCAGAGAACCAGCACCTGGTGAGTCCGGAGGCTCTGGACCTGCTGGACAAGCTGCTCCGCTACGACCACCAGCAGAGGCTGACGGCGGCCGAGGCCATGCAGCACCCTTACTTCTGTTAGTATTAAATGCCTACGCGGCGCTTTCTGCATGTCTGGATATCAGCACCACTGCTCACACGGCTGCATTAAACAATGGAGATACACCTATTAAATAATAATGCTGAGGGATCTGTCACATGAATACTGATGTTTTCTCTCTACTGTTACCAGTTTGTTACAAATAATTGTAAGATCTCATAATTAGAGTTTGAGAGGCATCATAAGAGTGAATATTCTTTTAATTTTAGGGTTTGTAAGCCTGACTGAATTTAAGTGGATTGACTAGTAACTTCAAAAACTACAATACCAATACCCTTAAAGTGATACTTCTACTTTAGTTTGGTTCCCAGTTAAATGATATTATGTTGAGTGTTTTGGGATCAGGTGAGCAATCATCCTTCAGTAATAACATTTGCATTTAAATGATTATACTGTATGAATATGATTAATACTAGATAAACCCTGTTACAACCCATCGTTTGTGTGTTTTTTAACGGATGGTGCCGCATAAAACGTTACAAACACCTGAGTTAATATGGGGCACAAAGACACACCTGTTATGATTCATTTACCTGAGACCTGGTTGAGTTTGTCAGATAAAGTGTGTGCTTGTCCCTCAGATCCTGTGGTGAAGGAACAGGCGAACGCCAACACAGACGGCACAAAGGCCATAAGCGGCTCCAATGCGACATGATAACCAGAGAGCAGGTAATGCATGTTTGTTTTAAACTAAGTATCTTTCAACACACAGTTTCCAGTTCATCAGGTGCTTCTAGCTAAAACTAATGCGGTCTAATACAACAGTCACGCAATAAATCCTCCCATCATGAAGGTTATAATGTTCAGTTTAAACAGTTTGAGAGGTGTTGATTACATTTTTATTGTATTTTGTTATACAATACAGGTGTTTCTATTATTTTGTCCACCCACATCAATTAGGGTAGCCTAAATACCTGTCTGTGCAACACACGTGTCTCCTCATAACATGGGTCAGATGAGTCCCTCTGATTGGTCTGTTTCTGTTCCTCAGGAAGAATCTTTGTTACCTCAACTTGTGACCTTTTCGTGGCAGAAACTTCTGCCTCCACATCTACAGCCATACTGGATGCAAGATGTCAATCTTGCAGAATACACAAACACGCACGGATTAAACTTTTCCCAACAAAGCCCGGGGGGGGGGGGGGGGGGG